CATCCTCGAGGACGGGGCTGTACCTCCGCGCGGTTGCATCTACCGAATGAGCGAGGAAGAGTTAAGTGTGCTTCGGGCACAACTCGACGACCTTCTGGAGAAAGGCTGGATTCGGCCTAGCTCATCGCCATACGGTACTCCTGTTCTCTTCGTCCGGAAGAAGAACAAGGATTTGCGGTTGTGCATCGATTATCGCAAGCTCAACGTGCAGACGATCAGAAACGCCGGCCCTCTCCCACACATCGCTGATCTTCTCGAGCGACTTGGCGGCGCCAAGTTCTTCTCCAAGCTCGATCTCAAGTCGGGATATCACCAACTCGAGATTCGCAAGGAGGACCGTTATAAGACCGCGTTAAGACGCAATATGGGCATTTCGAATGGCTGGTTATGCCATTTGGCCTTACGAATGCGCTGGGCACTTTCGAAGCGGCTATGACAACGGAGTTCCGACACATGCTGGATCGATACGTACTTATCTACCTCGACGACATCCTGGTGTACAGCCGGAGTTTGGAGGAGCATGTGGAACACCTGCGCACCGTTTTGGAGCGGCTACGACAAGCCAAGTACAAGGCCAACCACGACAAGTGCGAATTTGCACGACAGGAGCTGGAGTACTTGGGACATTATGTGACGCCGCAAGGCATCCGTCCGCTTGTGGACAAGATCGGGGCCCTACGAGAATGGCCCGAGCCCACCAACACCACGGACGTTCGTTCATTSATGGGGTTGGCGGGCTACTATCAGCGATACATCACCGGATACTCACGGATTGCTGCACCTATGACGCCACTACAATCGCCAAAGGTGCCATTCGTGTTCGATGACGACGCATGCCTGTCATTCCAAGCACTTAAGACGGCCATGCTCATGGCACCCGTCCTYRGCATCTATGACCCCACCCTGCCGACGAGAGTGACTACGGACGCTTCCGGCTAYGGCATTGGGGCAGTCTTGGAACAACACGACGGCGACGACTGGCACCCTGTGGAGGTATTTCAGCCACAAAGTGCCTCCCATCAACTCGCTTGATGATGCAAGGAAAAAGGAGTTGCTCGCATTTGTCATGGCTCTCAAGCGATGGCGGCACTTTCTCCTTGGGCGTCGTAGGTTCACATGGCTTACGGACAACAATCCATTGACTTACTACAAGACGCAGGATACGGTGAGCAGCACGATCGGACGATGGATGTACTTCATCGACCAGTTTGACTTCACATTGAAACATCTCCCCGGCCTCTCAAATCGCGCAGCAGATGCACTCTCGCGAAGACCTGATCTTTGCGCTATGACACATCATGCCTTCGCATTCGACGAGGAGCTTCAGCGACATTTCATCCGGGCATATGAGTCTGATCCGGACTTCGCCACGCTGTATGCACAACTATCTTCGGATCACCCGCCGGCCAGCCACTATCGCATTGTTGACGGGTACTTGCTCCTCCACTCGAGAGGCAAGGACTTACTATGTGTCCCACACGACCGACGACTTCGGACTCGCCTCCTCGGCGAGTATCACGATTCACGACTCGCCGGCCATTTCGGAGTCAACCGCACTATTGCACGGCTTCGACAGCGATTCCGATTGCCCGATCTCATTACCGATGTCACTCAGTATTGCGACTCTTGCGAAGTTTGCCGACGCATCAAGCCCCGCAACCGCAATCCCTACGGCGAGTTACGCCTGATGCCTATCCACGGGACTCTGGTCTCTCCATTGCCATGGACGTCACCGGTCCGTTTCCCCGCGACCGGCTTGGGCACGACGGCATCCTCACGGTGGTGGACTGATTGGAGTAAGTATGCGCGTTTTCTTCCTTGCAAGTACTACTCCACGACTCCCGAGCTGGCACTTCTCCTGCACACTGGTTGGATTTGTGGCCACGATGTACCAGAAGACATAGTTAGCGACCGCGACACTCGCTTCATGTCGGCATTTTGGACTGCTCTCATGCAGGAGTCCGGCACGAAGATGAAACCAAGTTCGGCTCGGCATCCACAGACGGACGGGCAAACGGAGCGGGCACATCAAACCGTTCAAATGATGCTTCGTACGCTCATCCGTCCGGACCAGAAAGATTGGTTGACCGCCTCCCCGACCTCGAGTTCGCCTACAACACTTCGGTGCATCTGGCGATCGGCGTGACTCCATTCGAGTTGCACCACGGTGGACGGAAAGACCGGATTTTCGCCGACCTTCTCCTCCCTCGACCAGCCGACATTGACGCTGCCTTCTCTCCCGCTTCCGTCCGGAAGTACAGGGAATTGCTGACTCAAGCCCGCGCAAACATGCAAAAGGCTCAAGTCCGCATGCAGCAGCAAGCCAACAGGCGTCGCGTACCATGTCCCATCCGCGTCGGTGATCTGGTTTGGGTCTCCGCGGAAGAGTTTGCACTGGAACAGGATGTTTCACGCAAACTGCTTCCCTAGTGGTTTGGACCTTGGTCTGTGACAGCAGCCGCGGGCGATGAGCCCGATGGCCCTTCATTTGTGATCAACATTCCAGAGCATCTGACGGTCCATCCGGTCTTCCACGCCTCGAAGATGGCAACATACACGCCAACCAAGAGCGACGACTTTCCGGGTCGACGATCGCAGGACCCTCCTTCTATGGATGGTCATCAGGAAGTTGACCGCATCATCATTGATCGCAAGTATGGCATCAAGCCGCTGCAGTACAAAGTCACATTCAAAGCATGCGACCTCGACGACACTCGGTGGATTTCAGGCGCATATTTGAAAGCATCCGCACCGCTGATCTACGCGCATTATGAAAAGCGGAGGTTAGCTCAGGAAGCTTCACGACCAGCCCCTCCGACCCGGACGGTGGTCCCTCCCTCAGACAGACAGCTTCGCCCTCGCAGGTAAGCTCGGTTCTTCAAGGAGGGGGGGGTGTGGCATACTGCGTAGCCACACGGGCCCTACAGGGCCCGTCCCGGACATTCAGCCTAAAAGCCTAAAACTTAGGGCTTACAGGCCCCAGTCGTTTCAGCCCGAAAGCTGAAAAACGAGGGCCTGCAGGCCCTACTCCGTTTCAGCCTATTTCTGGGTCTTTCAGACCCAGAGTTTTTCCAGCCTGAAACGGAGGGCCATTTTCAGGCCCTCATTGTTTCAACTCGCCCCTAAGACTCAGGCACGGAAACAGGTTTTCAGGAACAGGCCAGAAATAGCCTGTTCCCACGACCTTGAGCAGGAGCTGCAGCGGCAGCCCGTGCCTCCGATCGGCATTGGCAAGAGCAGCCTCCTGAACTGCTCGCCTGCAGTCAGGAGGCACCCGTGGTAGTACATAGGAGCTTCCCAGGCACTTCACGGGTAGGTAGAGTCAGTAGGCACGAGTAGTCTTCATGATTCGGGCAGCACTCAGGAGGAGCGCTGCAGTAGTCTTCAGCGCTAGGCAGTAGTTAGCGCTAGCTGTAGTCTTCGGCGTTGGGCGCCCATAGCCATAGAGTAGTCTTCAGCGCTGGGCGCTGGTAGGTGGTAGATCGTAGAGTTGGGAGACATACTGGCGGAGGCCAGTGGTACTTACGTGTGGCGCCATCGCTCCAGCTCCATCTGCGAGGTACCTGCATCAAGGCACCAACTTCACAGGTTAGTACTGGACACAGAGAGAGAGAGAGTTCTTCTTCTTCCTCTTCTAAGTCCACCATCTCTTCTCACCCTCTCGCCACCYGACTTCTCAGACTACGACAGAGAGAGAAAGAGTTGTGACTTGAGACTTGACGACATTGGTTCCAGACTGGACATTTGGGATTCAGACATTTCGACGAGGGACTATTTGGGCCTGTGTCGAGACTTGGTGTTGACGACATTCCCATCTTCCCCTCCTCTTCGTCTAACCCCTCCTTCTTCGTCTGTGTATGGTTGGGGCTGCCGCAGTCTTCTTGTGTGAAGCGCCAGACCCCCTTCACACCAGATAACGATGATGATGATGTGTGTTCAGGGCTGCATTGCAATATTGATTGTTCGGATCATTCGTATCTAAGTCTTCTGCTGTGTTATCTTGTACTTCGTATTGAGAGGTCTGTTCTTGTTCTGGTCTGCACATTACAGTATGCAACACCCAAGCTCGCCTACTTGAGGGCAGCCCTTAAGTTGCCAAGTGTCTCCCTTGAATCAGATTCCAGGTGCGAGTGCCTCTCACTCTCGCCTCTCTCAAATCGCCGCATGAAGTCTCCTCAAAATGTCTCGCCACCCTAATCTCATTGTCAAGCAACCTGGTTAGGTTCAACGTCGACCATCCGTGACCTAACCAGGTGGGGGCAGCTTCCCTCAGCCACGCTGCCTCACTTCCTTTAACCAACCAACCTTAACCCTAAGTGTTGCCCTCAACCACTTAGGTTAGGGTTAGGGCAGCGAAGTTAACTCTCACCAGCAAGTAGAATCCGCTCTGATACCAATGTTATGATCCTGGCCAATTTCGAGATACACATCCATCAGATAATACAATGCTGTCCAATTGCAGACAAAAATGAATGAACTTGAGAGGAGAGAGAAGATCAGAAGAAGAATAAGATATAAGAAAGAAGAAGAAGATGATGTACACCAACATAGACAAATGACAAGGCTATTCTTCTTCGCCCAACAATCTCCTCTTCCTTATCTCCCCCTTCTCTTATTCATACAAGAAATAATAATACAATGTTGAATGACTGAACCAGAATCAATGTCTGAGTCCCTCTCGTACTGCTGGTAACACATGAGGTCCACCATAGCCATGGCCGCCTCCCTCAACCTTCACCCTCACAGGCCGAGGCTATGGCAGACTACTAGGCCTTGCCCATATGCCCAAAGGACAACCCAAAGCAACTATGGCTGCTCTAGCTCAGGCCACCATGCCTGACCCTGCCTGACCCTGCCTCGAAGCTTCTTGGTGTGGCTCTTCCCGGTTGGGGACTCCCTGCTGCAACGCCCACCAAGGTGATGAAGATGGCTGCCACCATAGCCAGGTAAGTACCCCTGGTGCTCCTCCCCCTTCCTTCCTTCTTCCTCCCTCGTGTCCTCCTCCTTCCTCCCCAGCAGCGCTGCTCCAGCATAGCGCTGCTCCAGCCAGCGCTCCACCAGTGTGTCGCCAAACTTGCACACCGAAAAAGAGGCCAGACTCTTCGCCCGACCCAAAGATATAGCGGTCTGCTTTGCCTCTTGGGTGGTGACTTCCAGGCCGCTTGGCTTCCCAAGCAATCGGTACCTGCTCCTTCTTGGAGGGAAACATCATTGCAGACTCTGATATTGCCCGTACAGGCCCTAGACTCAGACTGGTACCCGCCTAGACCTAGCCTACACTACTAAAACTGCCACTTTTGTCTTCTTCTGCTCGGCCTCCGGTACCTGCACGTCTACCCCTTCCAGCTGCGGTACCGGCCTACCTGCTACTTGAGTGCTTTTCCCCGCTGCAAACCCTCAATGTCACGGCCACAGGTAAGTACCGGCCCTGAGGGCCCAACGAACGAGCAAGTGCCCTGACGGGCCACACACATACTCATGCCAACCAGCACTCAGACAGGCACGGTCACACACACACCCAAGCCAACCAACACTCAAACAGGCATGGTCACACACACACTCAGGCCAACCAGCACTCAGACAGACATGCAGTCCAACAAGCGTGCACACACAAACTTAGTAGCAGGCGGGAAACTCAACAAGGCATTCAGTCTATGAGCAAAACTCAGAAATCAGTTGTGTGTTTCAGTCCATGTTTGGACGGTTCATGACAACGATCAAATTGCTATAAGACCAGAGGATCAGCACAAAACCGCATTCCCAGACCAGGTACGGTCTGTACAAGTTTGTGGTGATGTCCTTTGACCTTTGCAATGCGTCGGGTACATTCCAGTACGCCATGAATAGGATCTTCCATGACTACTGAGATAAGTTCGTCGTCGTGTACCTCGATGATATACTTATCTTTAGTAAGACTGTCGAGGAACATGCTTAGCATGTGGACAAGGTACTTTCACTCCTTCGCCAGCACAAGTATAAGATAAACTCAGAAAAATGCGAGTTCGGTTGCACTTGAATCTTGTACTTGGGTCATGAAGTCTCCGCGGATGGGATTAAGCCCGAAGATGCGAAGGTGGCTAGCATACGTGATTGGCCACGACCCAGTCTGTGACCGAGGTCAGATCATTCTTGGGAATGTGTGGTTATTACCGCAACTTAGTTAAGAACTATAGCACGATCACATCTCCCTTGACTGATCTAACTCGACTTGACACGCCATGGGAATGGATCGGCGAGTGTGAGGCAGCTTTCAAGCGTTTGAAGCATGCACTCACGCACCATGAGGTTCTCATGGTACCCGACCCGCAAAGGTCGTTTGTTGTAACCACTGGCGCAAGCCAATACGACATTGGCGCAGTGCTGGCTCATCAGGAAGGGAAGAAGTTGAGACCGGTCGAGTATATGAGCAAAAAGATGCCATCAAAGAAGTTGGCAAAGTCCACCTACGAGAGGGAACTCTATGCCCTCTACAAGGCACTTGTCCACTGGAGGCATTATCTGTTAGGAAGGTTCTTCTATTTGAAAACTGACCATCAGACCCTCAAGTGGATCAAGACACAACCAGTTCTCCCCGATGCACTCAAACGCTGGATTGAAGTCATAGATCAATATGATTTTAAACTAGACTATGTGAAAGGAGAGTACAACAAGGTTGCGGATGCATTGTCTCGGAGGGCAGATTCCCTAGGTGCGCTGATTTCCGAGTTTGGCCTGTCTGAGAACGTTATTCGATCCTTGGGGGAAGCCTACAAGGAAGATCCCATCACGATGGACATCATCAACAAACTGAAGGCCAAAGACAAGGCCACCACTGATGAGTTTGTGATGGCGGATGGGTTATGCTTTCTTAAGAAGGAAGGGTTGAAGAGGTTAGTTGTTCCATCTAGAGAGATTTTGCATAGTTTATTTCTAGGTGAGTGCCACGACGCAACGAGACATTTCGGCTATAAGAAGACTAGTGCTAATTTAGTACAGCGATTCTGGTGGCCTAACATGTTGGACGATGCAAAGAAGTATGTGCAGACCTGTCAGGTCTGTCACCGGGACAATCCGCGTACTCAAGCTCCGCTAGGGTTACTAAAGCGTCTACCCATTCTTGCTGCTCCGGGACAGAGTATCTCCATGGACTTCATGGATACCCTCGTGACCAGCAAGAGTGGCAAGAGACATATCTTCGTCATAGTTGATAGGTTCACTAAGTTTGCTAGCCGGAGACCGCCAGGACTGGACACGTCATCAAGTTTTTCATGGATAATTGGATGCGTGACCTTGGACTACCAAAGTCGATCGTTAGTGATAGAGATGTGCGTTTCACAAGCGAGATGTGGAAGAAGGCCGCTGAACAGATGGGCAGCCAGCTCCAAATGACTTTTGGGAATCATCCCGAAGCCAATGGGCAGGCTGAACAAGTGAACCGGGTGGTGCAGCATCTGCTGAGGCATTATAGTAAGTCCAGCCAGGATGATTGGGATGAGAAATTGCCTCTCATCGCCAGTCTGTACAACAACGTTGTACACAGCACCACCGGGGTCACCCCGAAGCAGCTACATCTAGGGTGGAAGCCTAGATCTGCACTAGACTTCCTGAACCGACCTGCTGCAATTCCTGAAACCATCGAGTTTGGTGTCCAGTACGAGAAGTTGTTGCAGCAAGCTGTCGAGAACATCAAGAAGTCTCAGGAAGCAATGATTGCTTTTGAGAACAAGCATCGCCGACAGTCCACATTTCAGGTAGGGGAACGTGTTTGGGTTAAGGCTAGTGAACTGGGACAGGAGTTCGGCATCTCTAGGAAACTAATGCCTCAGTACTTCGGTCCCTGGGAAGTCCTGGATGTTGCGGGTAGTGAGATGGATGGTCCCTCGTACGTTATTCGAATCCCTGGTCACTTACGCACTCACCCTGTGTTTCATGCCTCAAAGCTTGCTCCTTTCGCTGAGACAGAACAATTCCCATCAAGGAGACCAATGCTGCCCCCAACAATGGATGGCCACGCGGACGTCGACGATATCCTGGAGCACAGAGACACGCCTGTATCCCAAGCCAGCTGGCAGGGGTAGACCGCCTAAACCTGCAAGGGAATACAGAGTACGGTTCAGGCATCATATGGATCCTGAGGAAGATCGATGGTTTACGAGGGAAGAACTTGTCAACACAACTCCTCAAATCGTGGATGAGTATGAGAAGAAACTGAAGGGGAAGGCACCAGCATGAAGCATCCCAGCGTACTTTCGAAGCTAAGGGGGATGGAATGCAAGGAACGAGCCCTCATAGGGGCCCTTATCGGGCAAACACATGTCATGGGCAGAGGCCCCCTGCAAGCCGAGTGCCCACCCTAAGCGAAGGCGCGAGGCCAAAATTCGACAGTTTTATACACGGGTATTCAGGCTGTTGCAGCCCGCCAGTTGGTTGAGTGAACGTGCGAGCCTCACTAAGCTGCGTCGTACAGTTGGCCCAGGCCTTGGCAGTTGCGGCTGGGCACATACACACAAAGCAGGGCCAATACATCATGAAGTGGCCACCGGCCTATGCAAAAGCAGTACTGTCGACGTACCTACCCCGGGGGTCCTGTGCACATGCAGCAAATGGCCCAAGTCCGGAGACTCAGGCCGTGCCCAACTGTAAAGGGCCCAGGCCCTCAACTGTAGTCTCGGGCCTGGGCGCAGGGAACTAAGGCCCAACCGGAAGCTACTGGAAGCTTCCAGCCAGTCCACATGCAGCATCCAGGAGGCTGGCCTGCGCAGGCAATACAGGCACGCTGCTGCGCTGCTGCATTGGATGCTGCGTTGCCGCCAGTGCGTTTGCAGGGCGCGTTGAGGTGAAGTGGGGCGCTGCAGGGCAGCGGTGCGCTGGCAGCCATAGCCGGGCTGCTGGGTGGTAGGGGGTAAGAGGGCGATCTGGTGGTCTTCAGCGAAGGAGGCGAGTGCGTGGGTTATCAAGGTCTGATGAGGGTGACAAGATACGTACCTGGTGCATGAAGAGAGGTTGGCTATAGTGTTGACATCATGTACATTGGTCTTCGAGAGTCGAAGCGAGCCTGTTGCGTGAACACAGCTGTAGGTACGATATTCGAGTAGAGTAGGCTAGGCGCTGGGCGCCAGACAGAGAGGAGCGACTTAGGATACTGTGTTGGTGTGGCCTGAGGGCTTGAACATTGGCTCAGTACTTCATTGTATTCCTCTATTTGGATGGATTCTCGGTGCAATTGTGCTCTCTGCTTGTACACGACTACTTCGACATCTGTGTGATTTCGCAACTTGGTTTTCTGTATATCATTCACACTCATATTCCTTGCAGAGAGAATCTGGGGTCTTTTAAAACAACACACACACACACACACACACACACACACAGAGAGAGAGAGAGAGAGAGAGAGAGAGAGAGAGAGAGAGAGAGAGAGAGAGAGCTCTGAAAAACTGGAAAAAAAAGGGAAAAAAAAAAAAATCGTTGCACCGGCCTTAGGGTTCGCTGTGCTTCTTTCCAAATCTGTCAACTTGCGAGCGTGAGAGGCAGAGCGGCCTTACAGGGCATCGTGGCAGGGCCCTAAGCAAAGGACTGCCTGAGGTAAGTTTGGATGGGCCCCAAGTGAAGGCCCGACCTTTAAAAAGGGTGGCCCGACCTGTTTTGGAAAAATTCGGGGTCCGATGGTGGTGGGATCCCTGGCAGGCCGCTATAACTTCCAGGACTGGTCTGCCACAATCCCGGTGTCACATAAATGGACAGGCTGGGGCAGACTGGGTATCTTTTGCGAGTTGGCAGCTAGTGCTAGGCTTCTGCAGCTCGTGTGCCTAGGAAGCAGCACTAGTGCAGGCCAGTGATCGAGAGTGGAGGCAGGCAGTGTCAGGCAAAGCTGGGCTGCGTTGCAGAGTAAGTGGAGGTGGTGCATGGAAGGGATGTTCTGGGAGGAGGAAGGCTATAGGGAGAAGGGTGTGGCGAGGGACATACCTGTTGGTTTATGAGAAGAGCTTTCCATGTGCTGGAGGAAGGCTATAGGGAGAAGGGCGTGGCGAGGGACATTTTCGGTCTTTGGCAGTGTATATTTCCATGTTGTGGCAGTGGATACTTCCATGTCCTAGGGGAAGATTCAATCCCATATTTCTCAGTTGGTGAAGTGTGGCAATGTCGGTCCGTGTGTGTGTCTGTGTAGGATGAGCACAATCGGAATGAATTTTCAGCCAGAATATGGAA